TTGTTTTCTTAATAGGGAGAAAGTTTGAATCTAATTTTAGATATATATATATATATATATATATACACTTCTTTTTTCTTTCTAAAATTCTCCTTGTGTTCTAAATTTTTATTGTCGTATTTATTTTTTGAGTAAGATTTTTTTAAACATACTTCCTACTTGTTGTGAGTAAAAGGTTAATATTGTAAATTATTTATAAATTTTTAGGATAAGTTTTATGATGTGATATTTCATTTTAATAAGAGTTGATTTAATTGAAAAACATGAATTTTAAGTTGTCTTGAGAGAGTAATTTGTTTGAAAAGTTATAAATTAATAAGGGCTAATATTAATTTTGGAATGCAACAAATATGATCTATTGAATTTTTGTTACTCATTCTATTACGTGATACCTTATGATTTGGTTCTTATTTTCAGCTCCGGAGGAACACGGTTTCTTGTTTCTTATTTTTAAGAAACGTTTCAAAAATTGTATAGAAATGTTGAGAACAACAAAATAAAATTTTTTGTTTCTTACTTTCGTTTAGTTAAAACACACATTTGGTCTTTGTACTCTCACTAAAATAACAATTTAGTCCCTGAACCTTAGTTTATAACGATTTAGTCCATCTACTTTCCCTAAAATAACGATTTAGTCCCTGTAATTTAAAATTTGTAACAATTTAGTCCCTAGCGTTAATTTTTTTTTTTATTAAAACTAAGTGTCAAATTTTATCCTATAACAATTTAATCTTTCTAATTCATAAACATTTTGGTACCTCTTTAGTTTATCAATCTATACATACAAGAAATTTAACAAAAAAATCTCACGATAAAGATTAAATCGTTATCGACTTTAAATTACAATGATTAAATTGTTACATATTAAAGTTCAAGGACTAAATTATTATCAATTTAAAAGTATAGAAACTAAATCGTTACAAACTAAAGTTCAGGGATTAAATTGTTACTTTAACAAAAGTACGAGGACTAAAAGTGTTTTTTAACCTTGTTTGTTTTTCAAAATATAAATAAAAATATTAGCATGATTGCCTTATAAAATGCACAATTTTATGAAAAATAAAAATAACATAAAACGTTTGAATATTTAATTTTAAAAAGTAATTTTCAAATAAAATTTTCTTTTGAAATTTAACTTGAAGAAAGAATGGCCAAATATGTCTTTCTTTTTTCAGTAAAAACAAAAAACAGAAAAGAAGAATTGATTATCAAACATAATTATATTTTTCTTTATTAGAACAAGAAATAGTAAACTAAAATTTTACCAAAAATGGGTCCAATGTTATTGTTATTGTTATTATTTTTTGATAAAGGATATTTGGTAGGCTAAAATAATGAAACTTTTAATAAATTTGAGATAAAAAATTCAATTTCAACCGTAAATCTTTAATGGGAAGTTTTAGTGTGACATCAGCAGTGATGGTATCCCCCTGTAATACGCCTTAAGACGAGGCTTAGGCATCTTTTTTGTAAAGAAACCATACCCATACTCACAACCCATTCCATTTCCATTTAGATTGCGTGTGCATCAATGTTAATTGTTTATGTCTTATTTTGGACACTCAACCAATTTTAAAATATTTACCTTAGTTTAAGATTTTCAGAAAAATAAAAAGAAAATGTGGTTTTAATTATGCCCTTAAACTTCGAGATAAGTTTCAATCATGCCTCTATTAATTTCAAGGTTTTATTTTAATTCTAAATCCTTAAAAGTATTTCGAAACAACCCTTCTATAAATTTCTCCATTAAAATGACAATAAAAATACGATGTGGCAAATGGTGCCAATTATAGAGGGAAGTAAATTTGGATATCAATGATTTAGTCAAAGTTTA